CTATGTGTATTTTAAATAATGATAAAAATTTCATATCTTACAAACAAATTATTGAATACAAACATATGAATTTAATACGAGTACATACCATACGTAGGGTTGAAGATAGAGGATGTAATTTTTTGCAAATTTACATTTTTTTTAACATTCCTAATGGTGGTTTCATAATGCAGACTTGATTATGTATTTAATGATGTTTCTGATACATTGAAGAAGCTATGAATGAAAAAGGAATAATTCGAGATCTTAACTATAATATACAGCATATTTAAATAGTTACATTAATAATAAATATAAGAAAAGTACATTTTGTGCAAACACCTTTTGACAAATACTTTTCAGTTTGAATGACACAAAAACCAATTGATTGTATGTTTAAACTATACCAGAAGGATAAAACTACTTTAGTATTTATCTATTACTAAATATAATACCATACCAGACATTCAGAATGATAAAAAGCAACACAATGCTTTCGCATTATGCGCTTGTTAATATTTATTATAAAATGCATATAATGTTAATCAAGCATACATATTTGCAATCAAATGTTTTCAACCTCATACTTGCACTTTATATTCAATGTGTAAACATAAGTATAATTTCAAGATATTCATACATACATGTATGCATGCATACACACAAACACTTAATAAAGATGTTTAATCCCAAAATTTAATAATATTATCAATTTGATATAGTTATCAATTATATAAAATCATAAATACAAAGGGAGTTAAAAAATTACATTTCATCAAAAATCGTTGTTACTTTGATGAATACATAATAATGATGTGTTATAACAAGTATAATGTACCAATCAGCAGATTATTCTTAAGCAACAGTATACACATGCAAATGATTATAACACCTCCAATAAATATGTGGGTAAAGTAATTATACTATGTGAATTGCACAGTAAACAAACGAATAATTACTTCCAAAATTTGTACAAAAATAATTCAGTAGTATAAGTTATTATTTACTATGTGTTTCCTAAGAAAATTCGTACTTTATATTACATTATACGGTTAATTACAATGTTCGTATGCATATTATATAAATGAAAAAGCAATTTCTTTTTCCATGTCTAAATCGTTAGTATTACAAATTAATTAATTAAATTAGCTAACAAGGTCCTGTGACATTCAAAATGTATACAATTCTTACCTCGCGTATATTGCAGGATTTGATAATCCAAGCGTTGTACTTACAGGACTTCCAATATATTTTTTTACAAACTGCAACAAAGGTTAACCATAAAATAATTAATAACAGATAATATCAGTATTAATACATACCCAATGGTTAGCAAGAGAAGTTGCACCCATATTCACAGCCATATGAATTGTCAGATAAACGCAAAATAGAAGATACAAAATAGAATATATAGAAATTGCAAGTATTACTGCCCAGTGATGTGGCAACTCTTCTTGGACAGCATTTATTACAAAATATATATTTATAGATATTACAAGAGCAGATAATATTGTTGCAATAATTTTATTAGTTCTGAAAATTAAAAATGTGTTAAAAATCACGTAAACATAAAAAATCAAACATAAAATGAAAATTGTGAAACATACAATCCGTTTCGGAAATCACCCATTATTTGAGTACTACTAGTAAACGCTATAGTTGGCAAAGTTGCAAAAGGTAACTGAAGAGTCATGATAGCATTTAAGATATCGTTCATGCTAGTTAGATTATCTATGTCACTGAAAAATGCAACAAGAAAAGTTGGAACAATAGCGATCATTCGCGTGAAGAGAACTCGTTTCCAACGAGCCCACTGAAGGTTTAAGAAACCTTCCATTGCAAATTGTCCTGCATATGTTCCCGTCATTGTAGAAGACTGACCAGCAGCAAAAATACCTACAGCCCAAATATACATTGCAGCCGCACCAAAGGCACAACCGAGAAATATACCACCCTTGTTAAGATCTACTGAAATAGTAGAATTATCTTTCTGTAATTAACAAAAAGAAATGTATTAAGAATACCAAGTAATTGTTAAAAAGATATATCAATTCAAATCAATCACTTTTTGTTTTAACTTACTCCGTCGAATGTTTCCATTCCTATAGCAAAATCGTTCTTCTCGCAAACTTGATACTAAAATATAGTGAATAAAGTATATTCAAAATTATACTATAAAATTTCTTTAGAATTGTTAATGTTTTGTATACTCACAACTTCTGAATTAGTTTTTTCATAGAGCCCATTTGCGAAAACAGTTACAACGAATACGTTAATTATAAAAGATACCAAAAGTGCTACACAAGCTTCAATGAAGTAATACATATTTGCCTCTCTTACTTTTCGGGAGTCTCTGCGGTCAATATCTCTTGACTGAAAATTACAAAATATTATAGTATCTGTTTAATACTTCATATATATTTAAAACACCAGAATGCCTACTTCTTCAATTTCATGAAAAAGATTACTTATACTCTTTGTTCTTTCCTTACTTTAACAAGAGCACTGTGAAGATATAAGTTATGTGGCATTATGACTGCACCAACAATTCCTACAGCTTGTAATAACATATTCCTATCATAATCTCTAAACCGAGGTATAAACATTCCACTTATCACTTCATCTTGTGGGGGAGATGAAACAACATACTAAAACATAAAAGTAATGTATATGTATACATATACATATATATTTATTTATTTATTTTCTTGTTTTACTACCAAAATTTACCTCATAACCAAATGTTACAGCCATTACTGTGATAAGAAACCCAAAGAAGAATTCTAATTTTCTTAAGCCATATTTGTCCAATAGTAAAAATGTAAATGTGTCAATTATTGTTATAAGTACACCAGCCCATATGGGAATCCTAAATTGAATTACAGATATTTTATGTGTGAATAGTTTTAATGAAAAATACTTTTAAGTGAATTGTAATTGAAAATAGATGACATAAAAGTACAACTCTAAAAAAAAAAAAAAAGCATTGCATCACTTACGCTTTGTTTGTTAATAAAGACAAAGCAATAGCTGTTCCTATTACTTCTTGCATGTCACTTCCAATTATGGCCACTTCTATCATTATCCACAAAATCATTCTAGGTATTCTTTTATATTGCCTGTAACACATTTCTGCTAAATGCAAACCTGTTACTACACCAAGTCTTGCACTTAATCTTTGCATAATAAGACCAAGAACTGTTGCACTTAATAATACCCATAGTAACTAATAGAAAAATAAAAATGCATTAAATAATCAAAAAAATTTAATAATAAAAAACAATCATATTTTAATATACCAAAAATTTTAACTAATTACATACTTTATATTTGGCAGTTACTCCAGATTTTAAATCAGATTCTATATTTCCAGGATCTAAATATGCTATAGACATTAAAAACCCAGGTCCTGTGAATGCCCATAGTTTTCTAAAACTAAAAGTATCCTGCAAAAACCAAATTGAAACAAGTTAATTAAAAAATACGTGTCACCATAAAAATTAATTATTTGAATTTGCATTGACATAAATATATGTTACATTTATTGTATCTGGTATATGAATTTTTTCATCAGCAAAGTATGCCTGATTACTATTGGGTGCTAAACATGTACTTTCTGTTGCTCTAGCATTTTCCTGTATTCCCTGCTTATGATCATAAGGCACTGTTGTGATTGTTGAATCATTGGACTCAGTACTGTAACTATTCTGCATGGTATACAGATAAGATCCGTCTGAAAATGTATATTTAATATATATTTGATGTAGAATATGTATATAAAATATAAAAACATATATATTTCATGTTGTAGTACTTTATATAATAGTACTTTATAAGGTTAATAAAATAATAACCCACTGATTTAGATAAAATGTAATTTTAAAATCTCTTTAAATTTGGTAATCCAATTATCGCGATGATCGATACGACGGAAACGTGTAATAATATTGCATTGACGACAATGCATACTCCACTTCTACTAAATATGTAATTAAACACCAGATACATATTTTAATATCATTAATCATGTAACATGTTATCAATCAGCAAAGAAATAAACCATCAAATTCTCATTTTGAAAGAAACAGTATGTTGAAACAAATGTAAAAAACTGATAAAAGGGTTACTTTACCATAAAATTAAGAAAAAAGGCTACAATTTACGAAATTAAAACAAACACATAACTGAAAGAAAACACGAAGCACAGCTGACACGGCGATCACTGACTAACTGGAACCATCAACTATTGCAACAAAGCAAATGAACAAGACTTACAACCATCTTTCTCGGATTTTCCCCCTCTCTGTATAATATTAGTTGAATGTGATCACTGGCGGGGACGTCCAAACTAATCGGTAACTCAAAATACGTGAACAGAATTCTCAAATGGCACGCACAAGAGTATATAACGTCACGGGATGCCCCATGCAATTATGACAGCAGAATAATTAAACATAATAACTCTTGCAAGATATTTCTCGTTATCACAAGCGGAAAAACTACTAAAGTTTTAGACGACCTCAAATATCTGTGAACTCGTATCTATGCCACTACAATTACTTATTCATCACGTGCCTGATGCATTTGAAATGCATTCATCAAATTGTCTTTATACCTCCTTTAACAGTATTACGTATTTGAGAGATTTTCACGGCAAAGTAAGCCTATAATGCACATATTATTAGGTTGGTGCATATGAAATGTCGTATTTTTATTACAGGCAAACGTTTGTCTCCCTGCTTGTGTTATGCTTATGTTTATGACATAACCTCTTTTGGAGTTTTATTGTCTATCATCAAGATATTTTGCCAAAAAAAGTTTCTATAAAATCGTTTATTTTTAGCATTTATTTTGAATACTCTACAAGTATGAATTCTGTTGATTTTCCTACAATTTTGTTATACGAATTTAAAGCAATAATGCTGTGAAAACCACAGGAAATATAAACTAAGCGTTTGGGGAGAACACTATTAATGAGAGAAAAGTACAACGTTGGTTTAAGAAATTTCGTTCTGGTGATTTTTCTCTTCGAAATGAGCCGCGCGGAAGACCTGAGACATTTGTGGATAATGAATAATGATGTTTTGAAGTCATTGGTGGAAATGAATCAACGTTTATCATCAAGGGAATTTGCTATCAGAATGGAGGTTGACCATTCAACACAATATTGCGACACGAAAAAATGCACGAAAAGTTAAAAATTCTACAGTTGTCTCTCATTAATCGACATGGGCCTCTATCCTTTTTCATGACAACGCTCGACCGTATACATCACAAAAAACAGTTACAAAATTGAATGTATTGAAGTACGAAATTTTGCAACATCCACCCTATTCATCCAATTTATCCCCAACAGATTTTCACTTATTTAAGCACTTCGAACACTTTCAAAACCAAAGCAATCTTAAAACTACCATAACAGAGTTTATTGATTCCAAAGATAAGAACTTCTTTAAGAAAGGCATTTATGCGTTAAAATCTCCTTGGGAAAAGTGTATCGAAGCAAATGGATCTTATTTTGATTAAATAAACTTATTTTGAAAGGAGATATGGACTTTTTAATATTCATTTAAAAATCCGACATTTCGTATGCACCAACCTAATATGTGTTTTAAAATATACCACTTTAGAACTACTTATTAAACGAAAGGTAATAAAAAAAAAAAAGAGTAAAACACATAGTACATTATTCATGACAATTGTTGTTAATTTTCAAACAAATTTTCAATCTATATTTCGTCATTTTGAATACACTATTAAAGGGTTAAAATAAATAAAATCATACAAGATAAGAATTATTACACTTTCCTATCTTCCTTACGAGTTCAAGAACCTTTATAGTCCTTTATCAGCTGTTTTCTGCGGGGGACATTTAAATTAAAGTTTCTGAGTCAGCCGAACTGTCATTTAAATCACAGATGACTCTGATGCTTTAATCAACCTTAATACACTGGAGCCTACTTGCTTCGTTTAGTCACATTAGCACGGCAAATCTTCGTTCGGCTGATTTGATAATCGTTAAATTAAACCGAAAACGTTTCTCGGAAAGTGAACGCGACGTAAAACTGGAACTGTATCATTTTCCATTCTTATTGTGAACGCGTAGTACTTTTCATTTCATTGACGAAAGGAACCGCAAGAAATTCAATCAGCATTTTCATATCTGATAACGATTATTGTCACTACATTTATAACATTCTGATAAATATTAATTCGTCGATAGATATAAATGTAATCATAAAAAGAAAAGATAAAGGTGATAAAATCATTTTTTTTTTTAATTAGGGGAAATCACTTTTAAGAGATCTTTTATAACGGAGGATAAAACTTGAGACAGAAGTACGTATATAAGTAATAGTAGTAATAATAATCACTTCCATAGATCATCTAATGATAAAAATAAACTTAACTTTCTGTACATTCTCACGTATTTTAATATCAGAATTCAATTATCTACGATTAGATAAATGAAGTACCTTTACTTCGAACTTTTGTCAAAACGGTTTTTTTTAATGATGAAAGAAAAAACAACGATCGTCTGATAGTAAAAAAACTATGTTGCTTTTTAAATAAACGTGCTTTTGCAAAAGTATGTGAACTTAACATGACAAATGATCGTTTGCCGTATGTAACTGACTCCGTTCTGTATCGAGGACAATCCAGTGCAAATATTTAACGTCGAATATCAGAATGACAAATGTCTTTTTTTTCATATTAGATATAAGATAGCACTTAATGATCAACAGTCACGAATTATATAATACTTTTTATGCACGAAATTTTATTACACGAAATTAACTTATTATACTATTGTCTAATTATTTTGTCCAATTGTAATTTTCTAATAATTGAATAAAAATTACAGTCGCGTGGTTTTTCACGATTAATTTCAAAGTAATTTCAAATGTTTAATGAATCATCATGGTAATCCCAACAAAAGGGGAAAACTAAACGAAATCATATAATAAATATGTACACTATTCTCATTTATCGGATTTATTTTTCTTTTCGATCTTACGATAACCTCTCTACCATTTAAACAGACGAGTTTATTAATGCAACATTTTCGTTTTAATATAATTCTCGTATAGTCATCGATGTACAAATATATGTAGATTGCTTCAGCACATTTGGAAAGAAAATCGAAGATTTAATAAAAAAATTTGTAACGATCTATTCTGTAAATTTTATATTTAAAATTAATTTTAAATTTCTATTTCTTTTCCATACTTTTCAACTTACGTAAGCTCTTTCGTGTGCAGTTAGGCATTCTTTCGTAAGTACCGTGGTAACCGTAATTACCCAACATTATCGCGATTCGCAATTGACTTGGTAAAATTTAAATTCTATAAATTCTTCAGAAAATCGCAATAACGTTGTTTTCGAATGTACGTTTAAGATAAAGATATGCTTCAAGATCAGGTTAAATCAATAATAACTTCTAAGAAAAATTGATATATAAAAATAATACAAATAAACGTAACAAAAATGTTAGCAACCAATACACGTGCTAAGGGCAATGAACAAAAGGAAAATAAGATATAATGTAAAGATACTCTGAACTGTAATCTAATCTGTGAACGTAATTGGAAATCGTATTAATGTAAACATTAATTTACCAATATCTATTTTTCGTTTCGTATTAATATACGTAATCATTAAAACCTACGTGTAATCTTTGATAAAAAACAGAAAAAATACCTTTTAGATTCTTTGCAAGTTCCACATTGAAAAAATCCTATGATTTTTTCTAGGTTTAAGCGTAAATGGCCTTAACAGTGGTAGGAATTATGACAGAAAAATCTTTTGTTCTACGTGTAGAATGTTGCACGATAACTATTTTACTGTTTTACAGAGAAAAAATAAAAAGAGAAGTAGAAACTGGGGCAAGAATTTTTAACTGCTCGACATGCAAGTGTTTTCATCGTGTACAGGTTAATTGAGGTAATTAAGACCATTTTTTCAACTATTTCTTTGAGGAAATTCTTATCTTGTCTGATTTTATTATGCGGAAAAACTTGGTTTTAGTCATGAAATTCATTAGCTCATAAATCATGAATCTTAATGGTTATTTCGTGTTTTTTTCTACGAACGCAAGTAATTTCGCATTCTTTAATATGATACGTCTAACCACAGTGTCATAGATAATGTAAAACCAGTTGTAACGAAGTAAACTAAAAATTACATTTCTATCACTTGAAGAATTAAAATTCGCAATTGCTGCGTTGCTATTACGTGGTAAATACACAACAAAATTTTTTGTGAAAGATCTTTTACGAAACGAACGACATTCAAATGAAAAATTATTTAGTAATGTTTCATATCCTTATATGACGATCTGAATATTTACCGACCAGGTATAATATCTTATACCTCTTCTGTGATTCCACTATTGAAACAGTATATATTTGAAAATGGCGCGCAATACTAACCTGCATAGTTCAAACTATTTTCTAAGCATTTGAAAGGAACTAACTTTACAAAATAAGACAAAAAAACAATTTAGTTTTGTTTAGTCTTGTCAAATGGCAAAACCACTGGTTCAGATCCGAAATAACAAATTTTTCAGATCAACGTCATAAAAATCCTAGAAATATTTGAGTCTTTACCTTGATAAATATCAACCTCTCGAAGTTGAAAGTTTCATACGCTATTGTTGAACGTGTGCGTCAAGCATCTTTATAATAATCATACTTGACAAGGTGATTTTTTTTAATTCAATTAGTTTATCAGACGATGTACAGCATAGTGGTATACGATTTAGGGCGTGGTGAAACTTTTTCGGAAACAAAGTTGGTACTTTAGTTGTAGAAATTGATAGTCGCATGAAGATATTAGAGAGGCGGTTCATACACATCAAAGTTTGTCGATGACTTATTTGTTGCTTAATCAGTAAACATTTGGACTATTTTTCGATTGACTGAATGTAATATTATAAAAGTGGAAGAGGCTATGGTTGGGTCCGAAAAGTCACCGTAAAGGAATTTCTAAAGCAATGAGATAAGAAATTTATGAGTCAGCCATTCGGTTGGATCACAGTTGACCGTGGAATATATCTGACGACTTTGTGAGACCAAAAACTGGTTAATTTTGAGCTTTAAAAAGTGAAATATAACATTTGAAAAGAAAATACGATTCGCTAACTCACCAGGTGAATTTACCGATTTTTTAAGTGGTATAAACTCCATTTTATAATAGGTAGGTGGTGTATACTTTTACTTGACAGATATAAAATTAAACTGATGATAATTTTTCGCGATAACGAGCATATATGTTCGTATAGATCAGTATATATCCTATTACATAATTGTAATCACTATTCTAGTGCATATGTTTAGATGTAATGAAACAAAAATAATATTCTTATTAAATTTTTACATGTTCTATAAAAAATTGGTTAATTCAAATATGTATTGTTATTTTTTGCAGAAAAATGTCTAATGTCAGTAACTTGGAACAACAAATTGCAAACTTGCAAATTAATCATGGGGATAATGTAAAAACTATCAAGTCTGGGAAAAAAATAGGTCCAGCTGTTCCTCCAAAACCAAAAAAATCACAGCCACAGGTTGGTAAAATGAATAATTATTGCTATATAATTACTTTACTATTAATGATATTTTATATTTCTTTTCCATGACTGTTCCATTATTATATGGAAACATCACTGGTAAAGATAAAAATATTGATACATTTCCTGAACAATTTTGTTATGTAAAACTTGATTGTATAAAATATTTTTCAGATACCACAAAGTTACACTATAAAGGCTGCATCTGTACCATCTTATAGTACAGTACTTAATAATTCTGGACAAAATGAAAAATCATCAAATTTGTATGTGAATTCTCCTTCACCATATGTGCCACTGAATATAGAGAAAAATGATTTTTCACTATCATCCTCCACAAATGGAAAAGATGTTCCTAAAAATTATCAAAATAATGAAAATTTTTATGTACACCAATCAGATGAAAAATTTGAACCAAAATATGGATATGATGAAAAAAATTATTACTCAAATGTTGGAAATATGCCTGCCCCTCAAGTTCCAGTTGAAGATCATTTAAGATCAACAAGAAAAGTTGTATATAGCAATATAGATCCTCCAATACCTATGCCAGTGAATAAAGCAGCTAAAACTGAAAAAGATATAATTTATAGCAATATACAATGGAATTCTAAACCAGAAAATACATATTGTAACATTCCTTCTGCACATAGTAATGGTAAGATTCATTTGAAACACAATTTTTTGAGAATATAATTTTCACTAATTTGTTTGCCAATTTGAATAATTATTATATTGCAGATGACTTACCACCACCACCAGAACCTTCGGAATATGTTCCGTGTGTACCAGGTAGTTCTTTTCCGCCACCACCGGAGGAATTACCACCCCCACCAAGTCCTGTGTCATCTAGTTACAGCGAATTAAGACGCGCAACGTATCAAACTGATTTTCCCTCTGATAATTATCCAAATGATATCTATGGTTCAAGCTCGCAATCCAGTTCAACCTATGAATCTATATATGAACCAATTAATCCTAGACCACCATCACAATTATCTTGCAATTATTCCATGTATTCTGGCTATGGATCCGCTACATCCACTCAACCCCAAGGAAAGGTGTCTCCAGTAAAGGAGGCATGTTAAAATTATATCGATCATGTTAATTTTTTCATTTCAAAGAGATTTTTTTTTTAAGTTACATTTATTTCAGGTGGACGTTTTGACTGATCTATTAGTCCAAGGAATGGAGGATAATTCTGAAGATAGCGATATATATGGTATTTGTGCACAATGTGGTCGTAAGGTTGAAGGAGAAGGTACCGGTTGCTCTGCGATGGATAAAGTGTTTCATATCGACTGCTTCTGTTGTTATGTTTGCAAAGTCAATCTACAGGGTAAACCGTTTTATTCTTTGGAAAGCAAACCCTATTGCGAGGAAGATTACTTGAATACTTTGGAAAAGTGTTGTGTTTGCACGAGACCAATACTTGATAGAATATTAAGAGCTACAGGAAAACCTTATCATCCGTCCTGTTTTACGTGCGTAGTTTGCGGTCAAAGCTTAGATGGCATACCATTTACAGTGGATGCTACAAATCAGATTCACTGTATACAGTGTTTCCATAAGTAAGTAGCAGTTTAAATAATCTAGCACAAGGATTAATTTTATGAACCTAAATGAATATTTTTATCCTACAGAAAATTTGCACCACGTTGCTGCGTTTGTAAGTTACCTATCATGCCAGAACCAGGACAGGATGAAACTGTACGTGTTGTAGCGCTGGATCGTAGTTTCCATATTCACTGCTACAAATGCGAGGATTGTGGATTGGTTTTATCTTCCGATTCTGAGGGACGTGGCTGTTACCCTCTAGACGACCATGTACTGTGCAAAAGTTGTAACGCTACTCGTGTACAAGCACTAACATCGCATATGACGACTGAATTATAAATGGCGTGAACATAATAACTGAAACCATATGTTAGATTGTTACATTTGTAATTGCCGTTTTATGAATTTTTAATGTTTAGGTATAAGTGTACTCTATAAAAACTTTTGACATTTTATACGTTTTTAAGGAAACTTCTAATCAAACCATTTTGATAATTGAATACAATTATTTTTTTTTATTACTTAATACTTCGAGATGAATTACGCTAAATATTCATAATATTCGTGTACTTTTTTAAAGATTTATATTTCTAAAATATGTAGATTCAAAATGAGTAGATTCATAAAATGTAAAACTAAGTTAGTGTTACTATCTTCGCACTGCCATGTTTAAAGTTTCGAAAATTTTTAATAATTGTACTATCAAAAAATATTTTTAGAGAAATTCTAAAATATGAGCATTAAATACTGTAGTTGGGATTAATTTCCCGAAGTAAGGACAATTATTAACTATGATGATTAATGTGATCTTAGTAAAGTATTGCATACAGTATCAAAACAAGATATTCAATTCTTAGTATTAAGGAAAACTGCTTAGATTTATAACATTCATATAACGCCAATAAAATGAAGTAGAAATTGTGCAATTTATATGCTCCTCTTTATTAATTCAGAATATATAAAATGTATACTCCAATATATTGAATCAGTTATGTATTTAGATTTCCGCTTTACGGTAAATCATGTGATACGATAGAATTAATACAGTGTATTAGTGCAAATACCTTAAATTATATTATCTATTTAGCAAATGAAAAGACTAAATAGGATTTAATTGTTAAATGTATTATTGGAACAAATATTGAATAAAATACCCAGTATATTTAAGAATAAGGCGTTTTCAATATCAATCTTACTAACAGATTATCTTTGTTGTTTCAGAAATAATTAAAAACAGATTGAACTAAACAAGAAAGGTAAATTCACAAATACAATGTATGCATACTGGAGCATTGTATATTTTATATCTTTAATGAGATTTTATTATTATATATTTGCAGGAGAGATTCACACTTATTTTAGTCTATATCTTTTCTTGCTATGGCTCTTCCATCTATATAATGTTCATGCACAATGTCTTTATTTATTTTTTTTAAATATATGCATTTCTTATATGTAATATATTTTTTTATTATCATTGAGTACTTAGTTTTTTTTGTCATACAACCTACATGTCATTTTATGTATAATTTATGTTTTTTTTTTTAAATACATCAATTTCTGTGTTTTAGGAGGCATGCTTTATAGATTGTGGAAAGTATCATTATTCCTTTTCAATAAGTGAACTCAACAATACTTGATATATATATATATAATTTTCAAACTACAACAGACTATCATAATATAATCATTACTGACTTGTAAAGAAAACAAAAAATTTATCAGTATATCTTTTAAAACTGCACTGTACAAGCTCATTACCATTCATTACCATCCATTTAACAATACTGACTTATTGCAAATTTGCTGATCTTATCTCGGCAGTATACTACAAACGATAGAAATTTAGATTAAAAAAAAAAACCGAATTAGTACAAAATAAGCTAGTTGCTGGTGGAATAACAAAAACCTGTTCCATATAACATATACTATAAATGTACAGTAGTCCACAATCGTAGAAAGCACACCGCTTACACTGTGTGTGTGTATGTGTGTAATATACATCAATTATATTCCTATATTCAACTACGCATACCCACTAATATCTATCTTAGACTTCTTTTATATTATAATATACTTTGCGAAGTATATATTATATTTTATATCGTTAATCAGCACCATTCTACGTTAAATTTAGTACATGTATAATAATTGCAATTAAACGATTCGCTTCCTAACACGTTTCGTTCGCTCGTTAGACCAGTACCAAACTGAACATAGAATCGTACTTCGCTTTCGCATTACCTCTCGTTATTAGATGTGTGTATATATGTAGGTATGTATGCGTTGTATGTATTGCGTGTATGAAATATACGTGTGTAGTGTTTTTTTTCCTCTTTTCGTGTGTGTGAGAGACAATATTGATGCACTTACACACGTAACTCTCTCCACTTCTTGTGTATTCTCCAACTTGCACGCAATAATCACAGCCACCTATCCAGATACGCGCTCACGCACACCCAAATACGCACCTATTGCACTCGCATTCCATATACCGTTGGTATACGTTTTATTTCTCTTCGTTCGTTAATATTTATAATATATCTATATGTATATATTTATATATGTATATTGCTGAGATATCTTCTTGTGTATTATACATAGAAATAGGTGCCGAAACGAGCTGCTCTGTTCTTTATTTTTTTTTAATCTTTTTTTTATCCCACTTCGATTAACATATGTTAATAATATCGTTTCCTCTTTACGAATAATATAATGAGAAAAAAGGGGTCATGCGACTCGAATGCCGTATGCGATGTTTTCCTTTTGCTCTACTGCTTCATTTTCTCTCCTTATCTTATCACCGTAAAATCATCACGCTTCGTATTAATTCTCTTTCCCGAATTCCTTTTTTTTTCTTTTCCTAACAGCATACTTTCACACTTTCAAATTCGCTGGGTGCTGGTTTGGGGGCCTGTGCAGCCCGTAAATCAATAAATAAATAGAGGAACAACATTCTTCAAACATGTTTTTTTTTTTCTTATAACAACATTAGAGGCTCTTGGAACGTAACACAACAAATGTTCAACAATACAATCACGAAAACAAATAGAAGGCACTCTTGCATTTTTTTCTCTCAATAAATTAATATTTCTTTTCGTAACGACTCACGGGTAATCTATATGCGTTCTAGGCCTTTGTCGTCTCCTCATCTACATATCCCTCAAATATATTTCTTTTTTTTTCCTTGCTTCCTACTCTCTCTCTCTCTCTCTCTCTCTCTCTCTCTCTCTCTCTCTCTATCTATCTTTTCGTTTTTTTTCTCTTATTTCTCTTAAGCTTCTTACTCGTCCGCTATTATACTTTTTTGCCGCGATATCTAAATCACAGCGCCACAAACCTTCGGTTCGTTATCGTTTTCCGTTTTCCTCATTTAAATAGACAATAATAGCTACAATATGCGAGATATGAGATAACAAATTTCTCGTTCATTATTACATTATTTTATTTAGTTATTTATTTTTATTTATTTTTTTTCTTTTTTGTTCTTTTAAGGTATATCTTTAATCGTATTCGTTTCTGGGTATTTGGGGCATCTCTTTTTTCTCTTTTTTTAAATTTTTTCACTTCGTTTTAACAGCTATTTCACGATCTTCTGTATTTTTTTCTTTTTTTTCCTTTTTTACTCGAAATATCTCTTCGTTTTTATACTTTTTTGCGCGGATAAGTTATCGAAAGAAAAAAAACGGATAAATCAGTGTTTCTTTCCCGCTACCTATAGTGTCTCGAAAATGCGTGAGAATGTGTGTAATTCACGGTTACTCTAATCAAACTATAAGTACTGTCTCACCATGTTTCAGGTAGAAAATCAAAACTGAGATGTGGCAGTGCCTTGAGCAACCGTTTTTTTTTTCTTTTTATATATGAAATCAACTCTATTTTTGCCTCCCTATTACCCTTCCGCTTCATCATTTTTTTTCTTCTTTTTTTTTTTGAACACATAACAAATCGCTCGTCTTTGTACGATAATAACGTTACTTAGTTATCATATTTTTTTTTTTTCGTTTGTATGTTTTCTTCTGTTCTATCATCTGTTTGTAATCCATCTATCCTACTCTAGCCTTGCTCGTGAGATTCAATGGTTTGTCGAGCCTATCGCGCATAATGTTAAATACTGCATATATAACATATATAGATTTAAATAATGTAGCGTATCTGTGTATCTA